ACACTTATAGAATATTGGTAAATTTTAGTAGTTCATAATAGTTTATTGGCAAAATTATTGTTATTATAAACAATAAGAACAATTATAATACTTCACTGACATTTAGTTCTTATAAATTAGTGTTTATAATAGTTCTTAATAGTTAATAATAAATAATTCCATAATTAGGTAAAATGTTCCCATTGTTAGTATTTGGACTAGTTTATATCTATTCAGCAGGATTATTAAATCCGTTAGGCTCTAGGAATGGCTCTAGATTAATAGTTAATATTTTCAATAGTTCATAATAGTTTACTGTCGTTATTAGAATCATTGTCAACAGATTAATAGACAATGACATGGTCATGTATAATTTTTAAAGTTAGTATATATAATAGTTTATTGACATTTTGATTAGTACCATAATCATTAGACATAATTATAATAGTTCTGATATATATAATAATAGTAACCAAGAGCCATAATTATAATAGTTCTGATATATATAATAATAGTAGACCAAGATCCATAATTATAATAGTTCATAATAGTTTCTTGATGTATAATTTATTATAAGATTCCTTTTCTTTTATTTGAGATGTTCTCATTTTACATCATAAGTTTTTGTCGAATTTAGTTAGTTAAGTGCATATATCTCATTTTGTTTAATGTAAATGTTTTCGCTTAAAAGTACAATACTTAATAAGTTGGCATAATAGGTTTATATGACAAGTTATAATTTAGTTTTAGTTCATGTAATAGATTTTGTCAGTTTATTTTGTAGCATAAATATATTTATATTAGTATTGTAGTAATCTTCCTAATATTTTCTTTCTTGTGAAGCACTTGTTCTTAATCGATATATATTCATTTAAATAGTATTGTCGAAATTTTAATTATTTTGTTTTGGTGAATCAAGGTGAAGAAGTGATTTTAACTTCTTGGTTGTAAGGATGAATTTACTCTAAGATGTCACATTCGGTTTTCGTAATTATTTTGGTCACTTCCTTTTGATATACCGGACAGTTTGGTGCGTAAGCAGGGTGATATGTATTAAGGTCAGTATTATTAGCGTCATTATGGAGTTTTCAGTTTTTACACGATGGACTTGGCATTCTCTGATATTGTGATTGCCGCCACAGAATGCACAATAATTTATATGCTTGCAATTTCTAACTGAGTGAGTAAAGTCTTGACATATGAAACATCGACGTAAACCACAAAAAATTCTGCGATTTTGTGACTTTTCAAGGCGTGGTTGAAAATACTTGTATTTTGTTTAATTAGTATTTTGAAGGCTAGAGAAGAGCATTAATTACCCATTTTATTCCATTGTTTCTTTTGCCATTTAATTTAAAAGAGGGTTTGAATTCGTTCTCTTCCAAATTAGTTGCTTGTTTAATTACTTCAGTGACATCTTCTGAACCAGTATTGTTAGATAAATTGTTTATTGTGCATTTAGGTTTTCTTTTGGATGGTATCTTGAGCGATGGTATCAATGATTTTTTTCATTCTTATATAATATGGAGTTAATCTCGAGTATTTCTTCTTTGGTATTGCATGAGACCGCGATACTTTTCGGATATGTGAATTCTTTTGAATTTTTACACCAATTTTGGAAACTGGAATGTATTTTTCTATATTATTCTCTAATTCAAGATTCGTCATTTGAGTCTTTGGAATAATAAGAAGTGTTGGTGGCTGTGTTTTAGTTGGAGCTTTATCATTTTGAGTACTTCTGCATATGATCTGGATCCTTCATTTTGTATTTGATCATGAGATGCAAGAGTCATACATGCGTTACTGGTATTTTGACAATAAATATTAGTTTCTTTATTTGGTGGTATATTTTGCATATTGTTGTAACCTATGCTTGGAAAATTGTTTGCATCCTGGATATAATTTTGCTGCAGAGGAGTTCTTTGATTTGATGATGAAATTCTTTGATTGTGTGAAGATGTGTTGGGCAAATTGTTTTAATTTCTATAGTTGGAGCTGACTGGTGATAGAGCTGCGTCGTCATAGAATTTTCTTGTTTGACAGCTAATAGGTGAAGTTTCTGAATCCATGTATCTCTTGAATTGATACAACGGCTAATATCATTAGAATTGCTTATTTCATCATCTTCATATGAGGGAAGACGAATGCGAGATTTTTGTATCAAGTTTTGAACCTTTTATAAAATCAATCAAAGATTTGATTTTTAGATATAATTCTCATAGAGACCTCTTTTGCCAGATATTCGAGTTTGTAGAAATGAAATGCATTCCTCATAAGCGTTTTGGATTTTTTGATCCATACTATCAGTGTTATTAATTGTGCTTTGAGAATTAGCATCGGTATTGCAAATCCTCGAAAGATTAAAACGTTGAAGAAAAGCAGTTGGTTCAGTTGAATGATAAGTATCAAGTGATGATGATCTAGAGCAGGAATGGGCAAACTACGGCCCGCCGGAAGGTTCTATCCGGCCCGCGGATATCATTTTAATTTGCCTGTCCGAGGCAAATTAAAAGAAAAAAATATTATTATATATTATATATCCATCTCCTTTTCTACTTTGTTTAAATATAAATTTTTCTTCCTTTTTTCCAAAGAACTGAGGATCTTTTTACTTTCTCTATTTTTGTTCTTCAAAACATAAATTAACGGAAATAGCAAGCACAGATAGCTTTCAATCCGTAAAGTGTTAAAAGCGATACACACAGGCAATTTCGAGATTTTCTTCACTCAGTGCAATCTGAATACTCTGATGTACTATATTACACGAAAATAAGGTGGCTTAGTGCAGGATGTGTTTTCTAGCAGGCGAGTGTGGTAGCTGAAAGACGACACTATGTCGTTCTTCCATAAGAAACAGTGTTCTGCTGAGTGCGAAATGTTAGAAGATACAGAATGGCTTTTGCACTTTGCATTTTTCACAGATCTTCTTTGCCATATTAGCAACTTGAATGTTAAGATGCAAGGGAAAAATCAATTTAGCGACGATATCTGGGCCCATATTAAAGCTTTTAAATTAAAACTTAATCTGTTTGCCGGCAGCTAGATAAGAACGACTTGTCTCATTTCCCAAGGTTAAATTCAATACCCTCAGTAACTGAAGAGAAGGTAAAGGATTATGAAGATGGCTTGAGAAAACTGCATTTTGTGTTCGAACGCAGATTTGAATATTTCAGTGTCATTGAAACAAAATCGTATATTTTTACCATGCCTTTCATCTAAAATGTGAAGCAGTGAGGTTAGATTTGCAGCTTGAATTAACTGAGTTGCAATCTAATGATCATCTCAAACAGTAGTTTCTAAATATGCCAAAGTTAGGGTTTTACAAATCATTATCAAAAATAAGTTTCCCAAACTTAATATCTCACGCCCAGAAAATCAATGCTATGTTTGCTTTATCTTATATATGTGAACAAGTGTTTTCAACTATGAACCTTAGAAAGAACTGTTTTAGAAGTAGGCTGGCAGATGAGCATTTAGCCTCCTTCCTTAGAATCAGTACATTTCATTTTGAACCTCAATATAAGGAACTTTTAGAAATGAAATCTCAATTTTATTCCTCTCATTAACATATTTAAATTGTAATACTTGTATATTGTTTTTAAAATTTTAGAAAAATTTATCTTGGCCCGCCAAACTTTTTTTTTTCAATTTTTGGTCCGCAACCGAAAATGTTTGCCCATCCCTGATCTAGAGTTGTGCATATATGTGTCATATATGCTTCGAAGTCTGGTGAACTACCTGGCCACTCCATACATATTGTAATCTTTCTAATTTATATAAAATCTATATAAAATTAAGCTATATAAAATCTGAATTGTTTAATCTTTCTCGTTTTAATTTAGAAATCAAACAACAAAAATCAGCGTTGTATTTGCAAAATTTTCACAGGATTAGTTTCGATGGTTTTACCGAACCATCATCCTCATCAAGTGCAAATGGACGATATAAGATATAATAAAAAGATAATATAAGAATGAAGAATGGTTGGACAGGAGTTAAACTACTGGCGCCATCTATTCATGAAAGAAAAAAAAAACTAAAACCTAATTTCCTCAAAGGCTGAAGGGTTCAAGATTCGTATCCTTTCTCGTTTTGACAAATTTCGCATTTCTTTCAAATTCTTCATCTAAAGAAAACACTGACTAAGATTCGCATACTAACTGGGCCAAAGCTCAATTTTTAATAGATACAAAATAGCTCATCAAGCTAGTACAATTTCGTTACCTTTCTTTTTAAATGACCTGGCGCTTTATTTTTAACCATTAACCTCGAACCACTACAAGGGCCGGAAGTGGTGGCCGTTACATGATGAAGGCTTTTTCATCATGGAATAGGTGGCCACCGTTGCCTCCTATTATGGGACGGACAGCTACAATCATGCTTGCTCCGTGATTCGAACCCGGTGTGGTGTGGTGGTGTATTTAATTATGACAAAGCACATTAGGGCTATCTGTCTAAGGGAAGAGATGCCTTCGTGGAGGACTTTCTAAGGTAAACTGGCTCGTATACACGTTACACACTGGTGGGCCTGATTCGAACCCTGACTCATCGCTACGGCAGTCAGAGTCACTTACCACTATACTGGCTGGGTCGCAGTTGATTAAAATAAAGATCTTTTTTACTCACACGTAACTGGTAAATCGTATATCTCAATATGATAATCTTTAAAGCTTCTGGAAGATATGCAGCCAGTTATGATATAAGTAATATGAACAGCCAGATCTGCAGATAGTTGATAAGAATAATGAACTTTTGAAATCAATTTCATTCATTTTAAATAAATACCACACAATAAAAAGTATTTGTGCTTAGAGAAATGTTAGAAATATGATGTTTATTGACTAAAGAGTTTTCGAAATTTATTGTTAGTCCTAATATCCAGATATGAAAAAGATAAGCTGAATTTGTATAACTGAACCTTTCTATTTAAGATCTATTTTTTCTATTTAACTAGTCTAAATTACAATATAAGGCATTTTGACTGGAGAGTTAATTAAATATTCAAAAACTAAGATACTCACCAATTATTTTATTCTCCTTAAATTTTATTCCCATGATGGGTATGGGAGGATAAATTCTCATCACTTCCTGAAAAAGGAAGAGTCATTTCAATATGTGAAACAATTGAACGTGTTTATATAGAGAGAAATGATAAATATCAAATAACAGTATAAAATATTATATATTGTGTACTCTAGAGAAGAAATCTTATAAAATACAAATGAAAAGATACAATGGAGAGTCTCTTATTTGTTTTTATCCAAGCTACTTTAGCTCACTTATCAGTATGTCGCAGTCAGATCCGTGTAATTACCAACGAAGCAACGGAGCAGTGCCCCAGGGCTTCGGTGACAAGGGCCGCCTCTGAGTGAGGAAAAAATTTTTATCGGTTTTTCAAAATTGGAGACTATACTTAAAAAATTAAATTTCCTAATGATATTTATACAACCGAAAATTCTTTTATATAATTAGTTTTATTTTATCTAATTAATAAAACTTATTTCTAATTAAATAAGAAGGGTAACTTCAAACGCCTCAATGACTAATTAGATTATGTCAACTCTGATGTCACATAGTGCTGTAAAATATTTAAGTCAAAAATGAGCGTATTAACTTCTTGGCGGCTGAAGATAACATCACTCGGGAACTTCAAAATGCCCAACTTTCTTCACTAATTTAGATACAATCCGAGACGCCTCTAACCATCTGTGTAAAGTTTACATATATTTGAAAATAGCAGACAAAGAAAAGACAACCTGTTGAGCTAAATATTTGTGAATTTTTTATCTTTTTTAGAAAAATAAAATGTTGAAACGAATGTTCGAAGGAAATTGAAGAGAAAAATCATGAAATTACTACACTAGAAAGGTTTATATTTAATAAAATAAGCGGGACAAGAATATGACGGTGCAGCAGTAATGAATGGGAGAATAAAATTGTGTGCAACAATGTATAATAGAAAACGCCCGAGTGTTTTCTTTGTACATGGTGTGGAACGTAATCTAAATTTAGTTTTAAAATATCCTATTGAAGGAAATACACAAGCTTGCCAGTTTTTAGGAACAGCCTAAAATGCATATTGCTATTTTGGCAATAATATTATTCGTTGCGGAAATCTGAAAACAATACACCAGAATGACACTAAAATTTCTAAACGTAATTTTCTGGACTAACAGATAGGACGCAATTTTTGCCATATAGCATTGGTTTGATGATGCAATGAAATGCCTCAAGCGATATTTCTCACTAGCTAGAAAAGCAAGGAAAGGAATGAAGCGATAAAATTAAAGAAAAAACTGTAAATATTTGACTTTATCTTACTTTTAGTTATACTGTGGCTTCTAGTTCTCTTCGCTATTTTAAAATGTAACTAGATCTACCTAAGTGTTAATCCTTGCGACTTCTCTTAGAGGCCTGAAGATGAACACAACCAGCGAAACGATGTAAAAGACACTTTTCTTTAATGCAATATAGTTTTCAGACGGCGCGGGCTTACGTGCTTACAGTCACCAACTACTTGCCCTAAGAAACCTAAAAGATACTCAATACTAAATTTTAATCGTAATGATTAGTACAGGAACACGCAATTCAATTTAACCTAACAGATTGACTCAGAACCTACATCGGCAGGATAATAATTCGGCGGCAAGAATGAGAAGCCGATATTTAAGGTTAACAGCTGGAAGAGTGCGCACAATAGAGAAATCATGCTCTGACTAAACATTCCGATACACCAATTTAAATATGCTGCTCGTCCATCTAAGTAATTTACATCCTGGAGAGGAAACGCGAGGAAAATAATAAGAATAGCTATTAGTAAAAGTAATTGAAACCCTATAATAGAGTGCGAAGTTTTAGGTTTTTGTTTCAAAGTTTTCACAGTCTGAAATTGTAGATCTTTTATCAGCATGGGGAATACTGAAGACTATCTTGCTCAAATTTATCGAAATGCGAAGAAAATATGCAGTTCCAGTGGCTTTAGGAATATTTGAATATTGGAGAAGAATTAGAGCATTTTGTCGAAGTACATTTAAGAAAGTGAAAAAATACGGTGATGAAGATTAGATGACAGATTAGAAAAAGATGAGACATGGAAAAGTCTAGAATCTTATTTTAGATTCACAAGGTTATGGACGATGACAAGATGCTTTGTCATCGTTTCTAAGATATGAAGAGGGTTCTTAATATTTATGAAGCAATTCAACCCGAATTTTTTGTGAAAGCAAATGGAAAAGAGATCCACGACAAAGCAGTTGATTTTGCGCGAAAATTTTCAAAGAATCAACATTTACATCCCAGTTTTCTTTAGTAAGGAGTGATCAAAAGAAGAGCTAGAAAAAATTAACAGCGTCAAATTAAATTACATAATTGTTGATAATAAATCAGAGCTCGTTTTCACCGAGTTTTTGTGATTTATGCACAGCACGCATCATATACCTAACTTGTTCACAGTGACTGTAAAACTTTCTATCCTGAATCATTTTTGAGAATTAATTCACAAATTTGAGATAAAAAATAATGTTAAAATAATCATCAATAATCAACTAAATTGTAGAAAAAGGTATTGTTCAGTTTTATTTCGTTAAAATGAAGAAAAATAGAATTGGGAGGAAAAAATCAATAAATAATAAAAAAAAATCTAAAGATCTTTTTTTGAAAGTAAAATAATAAGAAAAAAGATTTGAAAGGTTTCAGATTTTAAACTACGTCCAAAGGGACTTTTTTTTAGCGTTTTGTGTGTTACCTTTATTTAGTAAATATCATGCTCTTTACACTTAAACCATAAAATCCAGTTCAATAGCAATGTCCCAAAATAATTTTAAAATGAGCATATCTTTAGAATTTCCGATACGCAGCTCCGCGCGCTGGAGATTAAAAAGGTATTTCCCCCCCCCTAAAGTGTCGCCATTACTCGCTTTTAAATCGTTGAGTTTGTTAATCAAAAGTTGGTTAAAGCTTTACAAAATAGGGAATCGATAGTAAAACAAATTTCAAATTTGGGCTTTTAGATGCCTGTATTCGCAGTGGGATTACGTCATTCAAAATTCTAGATTACGTTGTTTTATCACAATGCGAGAAACATACATACATTTACGCATATTCTTCATTAGCTAATTTCTTCAAATATAATACAGCGCGAGAATATTTGGTGGTAACGATTTGTAAAGTGATACAGCTTTTAAAAATTTCAAAGCAAAATCGCAAAACGAAAACAATAGTCCTTTCAGGGACAAAGCCCCTTTGAACTCAAAAGCTATTTTGCGAATCAATATAACTAATAGGCTCGCCAGTTTAGCTTCGTTCTCAAATGAGAACAAGCGAGCCAAAAATGTCAACCTTAGCAAAATTATTAATAAGTGTATTCCTTGACAGTTAGAAAAAAGAGATTTTTGTACTCAATGTGTAATGAATAAAGCTTACCTTGAATAATTTGCTAGTGAACATTTTACCTTAATTACATTGCATCTCTTTCATATTACTCTTCGAAGGACGTCTAGCAGCTTCGGATAACACATTCTTTTAACTTAACAGGTTTAAAATAGAACCAAAAAATATAAATAAATAAAAAAAAAAAAAAAATGCACACATCAACCAAGCATTTATCGAAAAATGTTCGTTTCATTGAGTTAAGTGTATACAGCTACTTTAAGTATTGCGAAAATAATAAGCAATAACTAGAAAAAGAAGTGATTAAGATTGGGAGAATCAATAAAGGCAAGCAGCTTCGGTTCAATCAAGAAAATCAAAAATCAAGAATCGTGTCGCCGAAGACTCTATTTACGCCTCTGATCGCAGGTAAACGTAACGAGAGATGCTCGCTGAATAAAACATCGGCTGGTTCCATTTGCAGAAGAAATACACTGCTTAAAATGAATAAATAAATAAATAAACCTTAGATTAAATTTCGTTTTATAGTGAACGTTACGTATTAAGTTTTATTTTTGCCTAGATTTTTTTTTGCCTTGAATTTAACGTTTTCTTCTCTGTGTATTAGAAATATTGCAAGATACCTTGTAAGGATCTTAAGTTTTACTAACGTTTATTTTTATTTTAAATCTTTAATATCACTTCTTATTTTCTACTTTCGGCCAGAATTAAAAGCGTTAACTTATTTATGCAAAATTTGTCTGGCGAACGCCAAGTACTTAAGTTGTGGCTTTTTGCCAAGAGAGAGAGAGGAAGGAGTTAGTCGAAGCAGGCCGCTTGCCTTAGAAGTTTTACTCGGTTGCTGGTTGCCTTCCAGGCCAGAGGTTTAATCTAGAGGATTAAACGTATTGTAGTGTTAACAGTTCTCTGTACTACATACGGCTTCCTGTTAATATACGGCCAATCTTCCACGTTTGTTATTCCAAAGTTAAGTTAGAGTTTAGTTAAATATTTTTATATTCTTACGTTCAGACCACAAGTAGTTGGTCTCTGTATTCCGAAGTACGGAAATTATTGTAAAGAGTGAAAAATAAAGGGTTTCGTATACCCTTCCTGTGTATCTTGTCTACTTCCCACATTTATTGAACATAGCTTTAGTAAGCTCCCTGTTCCGAGTCAGGTTCCTCAATGTTCCCCAAGCAAGTAAGGAGAAACAGAGAACCTGATAACCTTTATTGCATTTTTGCAAAATTACACATCCTGACAACATGTTTTATAATTATGTTTTCGTTCTTCGCAGTGACTAAATAAATAAGACAGTCAGAACTTGATACTTCGATACAAATTTAAATTTTGTGACCACGTAAACCAATTCTTGATCGAACTAAGATATTTCATCAATACTGGATAGGCCGTGTCGAGTTCTTTTATCACGATCATGAAACAATGTGAGTTAGTACTGAGTTTTATTGCTCGTTGCTCGGCGTCATGTGCAATTTTTATGACCTCAGTCACTGAGGTTGCGCGAACAAGTGAGCGAAATGCAAACAGTTGATCTTCTTGGAAACTTCTGGAAAATCGTCAGAAATAAGCTGAAGTAACTTCTTGCTTCATCTTTTTCTATTAAAAGACAGGAAGCAGTTCATAAGTAGGAGTTACCGGCAGTCGACCAGTTACCACCAGTCGACCGTCTGGAACTGCCTGTATCTACATTATACATTCCCCGATAAACCGATATTGTAGTCTATGAAGAACTCTACGACTTATGATTTAGCAGCGTAAACACTTCAACTTGAGAGAGATCCATTTCTTTTCGCTATCTAAAGATAACGTTTGGAAGACTTCACGAAGAAAGTTTCAGGAAACATAACTACTTTTTCCAAAATGAATCTTTAACATACATGAAAGATCACCATACATCTTTGCTCTTAAAGTATCAGTCCTTCCTAAACAAATGTAGGCATATTTTCTTTGCATGTTGCTTTCAGCCTTTCTCTTCTATCCTCATCCCAATGCTATAGCGAAAAAAAGTATTCCTTAACCTTTGGATTATTACATGTGTAGAGACTTTAGATATTTTAAAGCAAGAAAGATGAAAAATGAGCAACGCCTTGGCCTTGGCTCCGTCGTTGGCCGTAATCCAACGACGGACTTCTCGAATACGCGTCGAGCGTGCGGACCACTACACCACGAAGGCATGCTAAGAAGGCGGGAGAAATACCTTATATATCTTTAATAATTTTGATAGAACGGAAATGTGAGCATAATTAAGTCTCAGAAGTAACATAAGTGTAAGAACCATTCAGCATTTTAAGTGACGTTATATATAAAACTCTTGAGAGCACTTATACAGATATTTAAAACGTACTTTAATAACTTTATCTAAATATGTCATTTCCTTCAGATCTTTGCTAGTTGTTGCTCTATGAATATCATCTCCAAATATGCAATTTAACTCTTCGACAACCTTTTCCTGAACATCAGGTAATAAGCCCAACATGTAGATGATCCAATTCAATGTAGAAGCTGTAGTTGCATGTCCCTGGAAGCAGAAAAAATTATCACGTTTTTCTACCATACGTCAAGCTTAAAATATAAAACTAGAAATTAAAATTAAATAAAATTTCTAGCGTGATTTTGCTTATAATACTTAACAAATATCTAAGAAAGAATAGGAATTAAACTACTTTTACGACGAGCCTCATTATGAAAAAGTTATTTTTGTTTGAACTGCTGAAAGAAAAACAGAATAAAGGAATTCGAGTTTTTTTTTTTTTTTGGTAATTCTTTTTATTATTATTTTTAGTTCTATAGCGTGTTGTTATTACTAATCTCGTTTGTATGATATCAGACAAAGCCCATGAAATTGAGGCAACATGGCGATCGTCATTGTCAAGAGCAGGTGACGGTATGACTTTGCTCAGTACCGCCCCCTTTTGAAAGAGAATACCCCTGAGGAATGGATCCGAAGGTCTTTCCCTCTTCTCCAAACATGAGCATCTCGAGGGGACTGTCGGCATGCAGCTCCCCTCATCCCCAGGTTCGACTCAAATAAAACTTGGAAAGCTACTGCTTAGGATCGGTACCTAGGCAGTCTCGGACACGGGGGTATAAAAGTCTTTAGTCTGGCCTAGTCTTTTAGTCTGGCCAGCCATCTAAAATTATAATTTTCGTGGAAGTTTTAATAAATGCTTTTATTGATTTATTTTTGTATGTTTTATTTGAGTTTTATCTTATGGTCTACTGTAGGTCACCCATGTGATCCTTACAGAAAACATGGTTATATTTTCAATTCGAACCTGGGTAACTGGTAGTAGGAAAATAAATTTTAAGTGTGTTCTGACTATACGATCAGATTAATTAATTTAACTGAACTGGTGTTTTGACTTCTTACGTGTGAGATTTATCTTTCCCTGGTGTTTTGAAGAGTTCTGTGTTGTATTTTAAATGTAAAGTGTTTGTGTCTATCTCTAGAGTTGTATTAAAATTTCTGTGTTTTCAGGAAGGAGAGCTGAAATAATCTTATTATAGTTAGAGATAGCATGTTGATGATTTTGTTACGGAAATGTATTTTCACATTCTTCTTTAATAAATAATCGTTTGGTTTTACCAAAATACCAGGAAGTATATTTTCTTATCCTTATTGATTAAATGGGTATGAGATTTGGAATTGATAAACTTTATTAACAACAGTTGATGATTTATGGAATTTTGTTAACTTTTTTGTTATGTCTTAAGAGGTTTTTTTTTTTTTTTTGTCGCCACACCAAGAGAGGGTGAGTAAGAAGCCAGATAATTTAAAGTAAAATTAATACTTAATTTTATTTTTGTATTTAAGAAATTCCTGATAGAGTGTTAAGCGTTGCTACAGAATTTTTTATACATACTGAATTACTTCTTTAAAAACAGTACATGGTGATAAGATTTGGGGGTAGCATCAATCTGTTTCAACACTGATATGGACACAAAGATGAGATGATATTGTAGAGACGTGAGAAATCCCCCACTTCATAGCATCTTTGATCTTGCCTTCAGTGATAAAGACAAAGCTGATGCATTTGCAAAAAACCTAGAAACGACATTTCGACATAATCCAACACATTGCGATAATAACTTCGTTACACATGTTAATAAAACAGTGCACAACTATCTATGCACTCCTTCACCTACAAATTGTCATTTTACTGGACTTTCCCTATTACAGAACATTATCAGAAAACTCAAAATTCGTAAAGCTGGTCGGCCGAGTAATATAAAAAAATCTAGCATTAAAAACTATTCATCTAAAAGGTATCACTTTTATTACAAACATTAATAACATTCTCAAACTTCGTCACTTTCGTAATTGTTGAAAGTATGTAATTATAATTACTTATTTCAAATCAGGTAAAAATATCCGAAAAAAACTATTGGATTGTTAGCTTACTTAGCTCTATTTCTAAAACTCTAGAAAGAGTCATACTCCACTGTATTTAAACAACTATTCTACCTTCTTCCTTCTTTCCATACTCTCACTTTGGATTTACGGCGAAATTAAACTCTACACAATCTTTCGGATCATGAATATGAGTGTTGAAAGCTTTAGCAGCACACTGCCCACAGGTGAGGGTTTTCTTGATGTCGCAAAAGCGTCGGACCGTCTCTGGTATAGCCCTATTCATAAATTGCTCAAACATAAGTTTCCAGACAATCTAACTCGAACAATTGCTTCTTTTCTCCAGAGGAAGTCATTCAGCGTACTCATTGCCAATCAATCCATAATCGTCGTAAAAGTCGCTTAAAAGCATGTGTATCCGAAGATTCAATTCTAAGTCTTTTATTATATGATATGCATACTTATGACATCCACAACACCCTTCAATTCAATTAGCACTCTTTGCGGTAATTACGTATTATCGCAACCATCTTGGCGCAATTGGGTGATTTCTTACGGATGAAAGTATAAAAGTTATTTTAGCATGTGCAAATTGGTGATTTTCGCTTTTACCTTTTTAGAAAGATTCCTAAACTATCGATATTTAAAGTATAAGTTTGGTAAACAATATCAACATAGGAAAAGGAAACATACTTTAGTAATTTAAATTGCAAATTATTAAATAAGAATTATTTCATACATTAAAAAAAATAAAACACTTACATTCTTCATTGAATGTTTATATAATTTCTTTCTTTTTTTTTTCGTTATTCTTCCGTCAAAGTACACAGCGATCTGTTTTTCCAATTGTAAAAATAAAGAGAATTACGGAGAGTTGGCTTCGTGCAATATTCGCCAACAGCGGCTATATAAAAAACTCGTTTCCTCCTTGTTCCCTTTAGAAAGTTTCCAACAAAATTCTGTATTCTGTATTACCTGAATTTTAACTAATTTCTTCCTTTGCTGGCGAACTCCACAAGCTCATATTTTAAAGCTAAGCTTAAGGCAAAATATATCACGATTTGTATATAAAAATCGTTGGAACTTGGATTACAACAAAAGAGAACGCATATGAAATGTGCTTTACTGAAACGATTGTTATGAGTATGATTGCAGGTAAAATGGCTATGCGCATGGTTGCCAGAGTTTGGCATTTTCTGAAAATTTAGCTGCTTCTACTCAGATGGTTGTGTTAGTACGTAAGTACCCTCTTTACTGACAATACAGCTATTCTAACATAGGCTAAACCACTTGAAAATATTTATTGTCAAATCCAGTACTATCTTGATTTGAAAGTGAAATGGCTTACAGATTCAAGAATTCAATTAATGTTAACGAATTAAATGTGACTGTATTCTAAAAAAAGTCATTCACTCAATTAATTTACGTCTACTACCACGTTGTTTGGATGAAATACCTTGGAAAGATGTCACATACTTTGACATCACACTTGAAAACAAACTTAATTTTAAGCCTCGTTTTATCACTTTAAGACTTTTCCTTGGAAAACACGAAAACACAGCAGTATTTCTTTTCACAGTAAAATGATATTACATGAAACCATAGCCCATCCAGTATTACTTTACAATTTTCCTATTTGGAACATGCTACAGAAACAAATCTCAACAAAATTCAGATTCTGTGAAATAAAGATTATTGAAAATAGCATGTGCTGCTTGATTTTTAAGAAACAGTATATTACATGAAATTTTAAAATTGAAACCATCGAAACATACATTTATGAAACATGCATTTCTAACTTCAAATACTATACGTTCTTATCCCGTGGCGTAAGTGCGAAGATAGTTAGTAAGAAAAAGACTTAAAAAGTTGTGTAAGTCGTCATATTAAGAAAACATACTGATATGATGAACTGAGAAAATGCTGAAAAAATGCGACAATGTATGGCGAATCTTAACACTGAATCAGGAGTTATATATATATAGGATCATATGCATATGGTGTTTAAAAATTCTGTGGTTTTGCTGCTCAATTTTATTTTGCGAAAGTACGAAGAAAGCAACGCTGGGTAATTCTACGTTAGTATGTATTATTATTATGTACTATGTTGTGTATTAGTATTATGTACTATGTTATGTATTTGTATGCATTACTATGATTATGCATTTTGAAACTGATTCTGAATTTTGTTTCAGTTTGATAGTGGCCACATCAGACTTTCATATTATTAACAACCAGGCATAAAATTTTACACATTGCAAATAATTTTGACTAGGAAGCATTCGTAGCAGTACTCATTTCTATCCTTTAATTTACATGCTTATTCGCTTGAAACTACCTTTACACCTGCTTAAAAATTTGTGAAAGAAATCAAATAACATTAAAAAGGTGATCAGAAAGAAAATTAAGGATTTAAAATAAATAAAATAAATGAGGGGAGCAGATATATATTTGCTGTTTTATTTGGAAATTAAAATTTAGCTCGATGCTGTTAACAGTATCATGTTACAGAAATATACTTCATTAAAAGAAATATAAACAATATTTCTAATTTAATATATCTTCAAATGCAATAAAAAGCTGTCATAGCCGTTAGATGGAAAGACTGTGGACATACATGAACTGTCTACGGAGACATCTCTGGCAGTTCTTACATCTCAGAAGCATCAGTAAGCAAACTTAATTTTGAGTAGGTCCGTTTCAATCTATATCAGTGGTCGACCGTTAATCGAACTCATTGATTTTGCCGTTTTAAATATTTCCTTGATCCTGAGGGTGTAGTTATTTCAAATGTATTACTGATGTTAAAAATTAAAATATGAGACAGAACGAAAGCCTACTTACTGCTGCCATGAAAGTATTAACTTCATCTAGTACATTTTCTGGTGTCAATGTTGGGTCATTCAGATGACATTCGAGAAGAAACTCCAAAAAAGTACATCCTTTCCTCCTGAAAATGATACATTCATCTGTTTCCTGCACTTTATTCTCATTTGCTCTCTCTGCCAACATCGATTCCATCTTTTCATGTATTACCTGGAATATTACATAAATCTAAAAATGAGCTCAGTTTTTAAGGTCTTAACTACTACTTCTTCTTATTTCTAATGACTACTAACTTCCTGCATTTTACTTGTCCTCAGCCTATCAGTGGGCGAATCCCGACAAATAGATTAAATGAGCATGTAAGGTTATGGAATTAAAATAATTTATTCGTAAGTGAGAGGTTGAATTATACAATTAATTTACTATTAAGAGAGATTTTAATGCAGGCGTCGGCAACCTTTTTCGTTTGCTGTTCAAATCACTCAAAATCAGCCATAAAACTTTTCGAGTCAGTGGTATTCTCATTTTAGAACAGTCTCTCTTGGAGAATAGCGAGAAAAATGTTTTTGAGGAAATAAATATAATATGCGATAAACGTTAAATGTATAAAACAAACATAATTGAATAAATTTTGTTTTCCTCTTCGATATCAATAGCTTCCTTGACGCTGAGCTTTGGACACCAATTTAGTCAAGTCTGGCTTATAATTAATCGTCAAATGTAAACATCTGAATCTTTCGCATTAAGCTGCTCCTGTTCTTACTTAAAATAAATTTCATAAGTGAAAATATTACCTCGCGTTTATGAGTTGAACCGTATGCGGTCAAAAATGACAAAGCCTTTTTTTTAAATTATGAATTACAGGTCAACGGCGGGGGGGGGAGTACCAAATTTATTGATTTCTCTTTGAAATTATGTTACAATTTTTTAAATGTTCGACACTGCAGCTTTGTAATCAAACACAAATATTATTGCTATTTTTAACGGTTTATTTTTTTATGTATTCTTTAAATACTCACTTCGTTTTCTGTTTTATAACTTATTTTTATATAGAGTACTTTTATTTTCGGAACCCAAGTGGGTCACTTAAAATTACAAAATGACCTCTGTGACCCGCAGGTCATAGATTGCCGAGGCCTGCTTTAATGTGTAAAAATAATTTACGATTATATTCTTCTAGTTTCACAACTTGAAATAAACCTAAAAGCTACAATTTCAGTTAAATTGCAGTAAAACAGAGGATAGATATGTACAGGTCACCTTAGATGGAAGAATGGCTATGAAACCCCTTAAGAGAAGTTGCCCACAGGGATCGTGTCTGGGCCCGACATTATGGAATCTTGTTGCCAATTCTGACTTAGTCACTGAGCGAGAAGCTACAATAGTGAAGGTTTCCCGACTTGGAATCACAGTTAATCTATGAGGAATACGTAAATCCAGATTACAAACACCATAGCCCAGAAGATCCCTGCCATCCAGCGGCAAATAACCTAGAGGAACACATCTCACTTATGAAACCAAATGACCTCAATAGTGCAGATGGAATATATACAGACGGTTTTAAATCCCTAGAGGAAACAGGCAGGGAATAGGCAGGAAGCCACTGCCTGTTCCCTCTAGGGATAAACAATAGAGTCACTTACCAGTGGCAAAGGAAACTGGGCACTTTTAACTCAGTTTTTCAGGCAGCGTTGCTAGCGATTAGAGAATCCATAACTTATTTGTCGGAATGTCGTCTGGCATCTAATCACATCTACACGGACTCAGCTTCAAGTTTAACTGCAATAGCAGGGACTGTTTCACGCAGTCCATTAGTGAATAATATTAGACATCTGCTGCTACAAGTATTCCATTCAGGCAATAGGCCTCATCTGCACTGGATCCCCTCACATGTTGGTATATATAGCAATGAAATGGCTGACCATATTGCCAAAGAAGCGGCATATTCTACCACACTCCCAGAAATACCAGCTCTCAAAACGTTCTCTTTTCTTAAGCAACACACTATGTATCAACTTATGACTAAATCGCAAGACGAGTGGAATAGAAGCGTCACAGGACGAAGAGTATATAAGTACATCCCTAGGGTCTCTCTGGATAGACATATTCCGCCTTATTATATCACTCACTTTTTGACAGTCCATGGCCCCTTTCCTTCTTATCTCTACCGCTTTAAGATTACAGATAATGCATCTTGTGATTGCATAGGCAAGCATTATTAACATAATCAGTTCATTAAGGGAATACTGTAAATGAATATGAAGAATAGCCCATTTATAATTGTACGAAGATTATAGAAAATTAGAATGCTCCATGTCTATGACAGTAGATTTGTACTGTGTTCTGGTACAATACACTGCATAATGTATTTGCAATTGAACGTGCCTTGTTATATATTAATAATTATATTTTGGAAATCGTACATTAGTATTGGCATTTGTAAGGTTCTTTTAATATTTTAGCTATTGTATAAGTAATTATTTAGTAGTCTTTTTTTTTTTTTGCATTAGTCCGAGGTTGCGTTATACGGTACAATAATTGTTTAAGTATTAGTAATTGTATAATTGCATAATGTGCTGGACTTGTTATAATTGTATAATGTACTGAATTTTGTAAGATGGAATATATATTTGTGTTTCAGTTTATGTCTCCCCCCCCCAAAAAAAAGTGGTACCTGAACAAACTATTAGTATGTAATCAGGATCGTATCTATTTAAGTTATATGCTGATGAAATAATGTGCATAGTAATTGTATAATATAATAGCGATTATAATATATACTAGATATTGTAAGACGCATTTATCTAGTAATGTATGAGTATTTAATCAATAAGCGGATTTTAAATATTATAACTGTATTTGTAATTAACGCACTTCTGTCATTTATCCGTAAATGTACCAGTTATAATACACTTGCAATTGTATTAAATATTGGTAACTATGTAATGTACAGGTACAACGTATTTGTATAATGTACTGTATTATAGATGTACTTGGAAGTTTGTTTTTCTTTTTGTTTTGTATTGTGGGCAGTAATAGTATTATAAAGTATAGGAGATTGGATAAAGTACTATATACTGTAAGGTAAATTTTCATGTGTGTAATCAGTATTTGAAACAGGTTTTAGTACTTACCTAAGAATGCAAAAAGTATACTCGTTAAGAAGTAGATTGATGAAAACACTGTACTTGTACCTGCTGTATAATGCATTTCTATGTAAAAATACTTGTGAATAAGTACATTGATAACACATTGCTACTCCTACGTGCTGTATAATGCTTTTTTGTAATAATATGGTACAAGTTATTGGTCAATCAAATATTGGTAAATGTACAGTGTATAGGTATAAAATGCAGGTATTGGAAGCATAACAGTAGTTTCATAAGATGTAATAATTTTTGTACAATGTTTTTAACTCAGATATGTTTTTAGTACTTATTTAAGAATGTATTAGCATTTATTCAAGAATGTGCTGTGTATTTGTATTATGTAATTTATTCACATATTTGAATTTATATTTATATTTGTATTATGTATTAGTAAGTATGCATGTATTATGCACTATAAGTAAGAGATTCGGCTTCCTAAGAAACACAGTGCTTTAATATCTTCAAGGACCTTAAACTGCTGAATTGGTAACCAATTCTGTATGGATTGTGTAATACTCTGGGACGGAAGCCAACTCAGCAGATTTCAGGATTTCAGTTAAACTGCAGTGTTTATAAAAGACAATGCATTGACTGTTCATTAACTGTGCATGTTGAAGTAGTAATGAAGCTGTTATTATCTTCTCTTTCAAATCTAATAAACTGTATTATATTTGGAAAGGTTGTAATGATTTAATCATTTAAACCCGTTTCTCATCATGAAATAACGAATAGGGACGGGAATCAAAAATTCAATATCGATAATACGGAGACTTTCAGACTCTTACTTAGGATTTATACAAAACTTGTGACATTTCTTTTACGTTTAGTAATGGTGAAGTTTGTGTTGCTTCTTTCTACATGCCTTCTTTGTGTCATAATCACTCAGTCGAGAAAGCTATACATAGTTTACGGCATGCGGCGTCGGTTAAAATGGACGGAATAATAGCAACTAGCATCATTTGGGGTTGATCTGTTGCCGCGGTTGTAACGTGCTGGTACAATTAAAAGCCTGTGATAGGAATAGGCGTGAACGTCTGACATTAGCACAGTTAAGTGTGGTAAATGAGTTTAGCTTTGTCCGTCCGACTCACTCAAGTTGTAGGTTGGAGTAAATTTACTAATTACACTATAAATTTCTAGTGAGCTACTTTTGTTGAGAAAAGTTTAATTTTGTGCTGTATTTTTTAAAATTAAGTTCATCATCGGCAAAGAAATAAACTTTTGCATTTTTGTTTGGTTTATTTTATTATGCCAAAGCGTCGAGGACTATCTGCTTAAGAAAAAGGATGCCTTCGTGGAATACTTTCTAAGGCAAACTTGCTCGTGCAACACGTTACACATGAGGAAAACCACGAAAACGCCCATGCAGCCAGCCCGTTCGCGGTATTCGTACCTCGGAGGAAACCACCAGTGTTCAGCAATTTTACCTCTCTGCCACTGGTGGACCTTTACGTTTTGTGTTTTATCTTGTATCAAGAGTCAGAATTCAGCAAAAGCGATAACTCGCCCACACAGAGAAATAATTGTTAAGAGTGAGCCGAACATTTCCCTTCTAATTGTTGAATTTTATGCCAGCATTATAGGAAAACCTACAAATCACAGCGAAGCAAAAAATAACTGACATTCAGTCTAGGTGTTCCTGACTCAACCGCATATTTTACTTCTCTACTTACATATGGATGATTTGAGGCCTAAGGAGTAGCAGAGATAACAGGGAAAATGGAGAGAAATAGAAAGGAAGAAGTCATATTAGATATTGCTAATATCACTATGCATTCTTATTGGAATATAGGTTTCTTTTAAAGAAATAATATTTTGATTGTTACCTGTAGTTTTCTCATGCATCCTTTTTATTTCATATGTTCTTACTGTAACTGCATCCTTCGGAAACTAAATTTCTGGCATCATTTTCTCCTCCCGATTTGCAAACGACGAATTTAGCAAAAGGTTAAAAAGTATTACTCGAGGAAATACGGACAAAGTATGGATACTTCCGCCTTTACAAAATTAAACATAACCAAAAAAAAAAAAAAAAAAGCCAATGAGCGTGCCGATGAGTGTCATTTTATCTCGGATTGCCTGGTAATAAGTCTATTTGTTGCCAAGCAATCAGAAATGAGTTATTATAAAACGCATGACAAAGATATCGTGAATTTTTCACAATAAACAAAACTCATGACAAAAAAAAAAAAAAATTAACTACTGAATTTAGTCGATTGTGAAATTTTTAAATTAATCCTTTCTGGGTTTTAAATTCAGGGACTGGAAGATGTAAACTGGGAATCAATTATGCAAAACAATATACAATCTTATTACACGTACTCATTCAAATGCACTTTCAATAACCTCACCCCCTTAGAATGATAATTACGATTCGTAAATAATATGAGATCATTTGGGTTAATTTAAATAAACTGAAAGTCAGCACTAGGTCCCTTTTAACACAAAGCTGCCTTGTTTATCAGAAGTAAGCAAAAATATTTTTAATTACACATGATTATTTAAGAAAAGATTTTTTTTGAATAAAAATTACATTTTACCTTTTCACAAAATTTATCAAAACTTTCTTTCGCTTTTCTCAGTTTTTTTCCCTCAGACGTCAAACTAAAAATTGTGTTGTTGAATGTCCACGGTCTCATGATTCGATTGGAGGAAATTTCACTCAGTCTGAAATAGAAGAATAAGCTGAAAACGGTAGTAATAATTAAACCATTATTATGCGTAACTGAAAAGTTCAAAATATATTTTAAAACTGCACAGATTTCTTTCCCCTTTCTTGAATCAACAACTAAAGTGACAAATTAAGACTTGGCTGATTTGTTCTCCACACAACTGATCAACTATCCCTGGTTTACTAGTAAGTCGACAAATGATACTTGCACATTACTTACGGTGTACTACATGTTTATAGATGCTGTCGTTAAATGACTTAGTCATACAGGAGCACGTTGGCGCAATTTGAATTTGTGAATATACAAAGCTATTAATACAGTTACCTTTTTTTCTGAGTGTGGCATGCAAGGAGATGCTACTGTAGTTTAAAATAATTTATATAAGTGTTGATAAATGCAAGAAACACGCATGAATGACATCCACGCAGCTTAAGTATATCGAAAATGTGCTGTTAATAACTTCGGTGAAACAACTGTAAAAGTTAAGTTCAAAGAAATGTACGCTCGAGACACTTCGAAAAAACTTACTTGTGTGTGTAACTATTTACTTTACTTGTAGTGGATGTCAGTTTCTCTAACTGAATCTGGAAGTAATTCCTACTTTTATTTAATATCTTACAAGCGGTCATACAGCGAATTATCTCTGTGTCTGAAAACCTACAGAGACTTGAAAAGTTTTAAAACAACCTTTTCATTAAAATAGAATTTGATCACGTCTTGTGCTTAATACAATCACCATCTGTGATAGTGAAACTAGAGTAATAGTCAAATTTAATTTAAAGTGTAGGCTACTAATCAAACACTAAACATTTCTATTTAAACCCAATCCAGAAAACTCTAACCGGCGTATCAGTTTAAATGATGAAAGAAATTAACTCAAAGCTGAATACAAACTTATCAGGAACGGCAGAACTAAAGTAACGTGGTCTCGAGAGGCAGAAATACGCTCTGTCGTACCTCAGCTGTCCCAAACCTCAGCTTAAATGCTTTCCAAATCCTTTACATTTCTGCTGAACCAACTAAAGGCTGAAATTATAAATAACTGTTTAATTTACATAATAAATATACAATCTGTGCTTCATTTTCATGATATTCTATTAAAATCTTTCGCCTTGTTCATCGTTCAGAGCTTCTACTTTCTCAAGAAAAATTTCCAAGTGGAGACATAGAAAATAAATTTTCAGATATTCTGTATGTGAGCTTGAGGTTACCCTTTAGAAGTCTTATACCGATCTTTGATAACTTTTAGCTTAATTATATCTCATCAATCTATGATCCACTTCAGTAAAGGTTTCCCGAGTCGCTGTTTTATCATTGTTTAAGTTCTCATAAAACCTTTTATCTTGTATCTCCGAATTCACAGACTAATGAATGTTTCTGCTTTTTAACTTCGCGTCACTAAGCTTTGGTAAGTGACTTTTCAATGCATGCAAAATCTTCTTTTCCATGCTTTTAACATATTGGACATATATATTGGGCCTAACAGTTTATTGAAAATTCGCAGTGGGCCATTTTAGAATTTATCAGTGAGACATACCTGACCTTTATGTTGTTTTAAAATAAATAAGAAATACATCGTGTAGTCCCGGTTTAAACGAATCTTTTGGTGGGCAATTTATTTCCAAAAATAGTTTCCTTTATTATAATCTTTGGTTACAATAAAGAATATAGTGATTGTTAAGTCTGCACGTATTTATTGATTAAACAACAGAGCTGAGAGGCTTCTTAAAAGGAAACGGCGCGGTTGCACATGAAATTTCTTCTTTAATTATTCACTCGTCTAATTCTCAGCTGTGCAGACTACAGCAGCGCCACAATTTCCCTATCACCAAATTTCGAAACTAATTTTTTCACGAATCTTATTTTCCGTGTCGTCATTTTTCTCTCTACTACCTTCTGCGGCTGAAGGAACGAGATACAGATGGCTTTGAGTTGCAGAAGAAAACCATTTTAAGTATGCTGGAAAACTTTATTTTATGAAGCAAGATTTAACCATTACGTAAAATGAATTAATATCCGATTAAAATAATTTAAAATACAGTGAAAGAGTGATGTTTGGCTGTTAAATATTCCCACAGAATCGTACTACATTAGAAGCACTTTTCAAAAGGATTGAATAAGGATATCGCCAGAGTTCTTATATAATGTATTTTTATTTAAGGAGACTCCCAAAATCAATGAAATTACCGATTTTTCAGTTTTTTACTGGAAACGCACCTTAATACCCTCACTACACTGAAGATAAATTTTGAAATGATCTGATGATAATAAATGCTATAAAAAGGTTTTTAAAAAATTTGACACCCCTTTAAATACCACGCCCCCTCAGTATTTTTTTTTACTTCGTAATTGTTTCAATAATTTACTAAAAATCAGTGTAAATGAAAGGGAGTGTAGTTAAATATGACTCCAACTATCAAAAAACTGTTTGTGTGTATATACTGATTTATTTAAATACAAATTAAAGTTGGGAAATAATTATTTTCACCATTAAACTGGGAAGTTTATATATTTATACTGAGCTCAACAAATAATTTTATGTGTATTATCAGTCAACTTTGCTATGCTTATTAAAAATTGAAACTATCTGTCATTAGACACGAACAGAAAGAGGTGGTGTGATGAAAGTAATCAAGTTTCTGACTGTAGCATTATTGAAATAGTGCTGGAACAAACATTAAACTCTTTAATTAATTAAAATGCCCATAAATTAATTTAAAATACAATTTATATACGAGAATAAATGGCTGAAATAAGAGAAGAAATCACAAAAGCTGCTGAGTGGTTTTAAATGAAATGTTTTATGTCTGTTAAAATTTCAAATTTTGCTTTAAAAAAAAGAATAAAACGACAAATTAATATTATTAATAATGATTATAAGCGCTTTAGGAAAAATATTATAATTAATTCATGCATTAAAATTGCTTTGAGCATGTTTTAAAAAACAAAAACAGGTAAAGAAAAATTCTACTTGCATTTTATGATTTTTTTGCAACATTTCTAGCCAGATAAGGTTTTAAACAAAAGCTTGTAATATTAATCAATTCAGCAGTACTACGTTTTATTATATATATATATGTATTGAAATTCAGTAATAAAATTTTTAAGAAATTTGAAATGATTTAATGAGTTTACATTCTTTAAACTGAGTTTTCTCAGTTTGCAAATTTTCAATATATCCTTTTACTTAAGTCCTAAAACTTGTTCAGATATGAACCAAATTATTTAATAACTTTACTGTTTATTGAAAACTATATACTAAATAGAATAAAGGATGGGTTTTGAAAAATAGTGAAAAGAAAAATTATTAGAAGTGAAAATGTCACTGAAATCATATTTTTTTAAAGTTTTTATATAAAAATGTTGTTTTTATTTTTTTCAGAAACTAATTCATTAATTGCAAAATCGATCCGTAAAGCTATTAAGAACAACACTATTATAAATACAATAAAAAAATTTGAAGCAAAAATATTGAAAATTGGGGAAGAAGAAAGAATTTTTAATTGTTGACTCTTTAAAAAAAATTAAAGTTAAACGAAAATAAATAGCAAAAAAACTTTTTTTCAGCTTAAAACCATTTTGTCTCATAAAACCACTTAATATTATTCATAAAAAGTAAGTGAAAGTTCTTAAATAAAAAAAATCCTTCAAAAGGTTCCGATTCTAATAATTCAGGGAAACATGCATTCTGGTGAAGTTATTAATTCTTATGTTGATCATTTCTTCATATTACTTTTTTATAACTAAAACTAGAAAATTTGAAAACAAAAGTGAGTTAAATAAAACACAAACAAAACAGAAGCCTTAATTTTGAAAATATTTCTACTTTTCTCTTATATAGCAAACACATACAATTTTCAGATACTTCAAGAAGACTCATCAACCATGCATCTTCTTTGAATACATGTTGTAATAACACCTCGTTTTAGCTGCCAATATGTTTGGCATTTAATATAGCATTTAACTAATCAATTCGCATGTATAATAATATAAACTCGGTTGAGATCTTTTCTTTGATTACTTACTTCAGAAGTAGAATTTTTAATTAATTAGATTACAGAACTGGGAAACTAGAAACTTACTCTTTACATGCTTCCATTGCCGCCTGAATTTCGCAGTCATTTTGTTTTTTTCCAAAGATTGAATCTACAGAGAAAACAAAATTATGAGCTTACCCTCCTCTGCCATAGAACTAAATGAATATTTTCTTGGATATATATGTAATAAAAATTTAATGACAATCCGTTTGAATCATGCCGAAACACGTTAACAGTGTAGGAAAGAGTAAATACACCGCTGGCTATTAAAATTTCAACACCAGCAAGGAATGATCTGACGAACGTCAAAATAAGATGGAAGGAAGAAGAGGTTGGGATATGCAAACTGGTCAGTATTTCAGCGCATTTAGACGAAACAGGAGAGAGAAACGACATCTGAAGCACTGCATAAAAGAAAAGCTGTACAGTAGATTTCTCATTCGAAAATCGGTTTGTAAGGTTGTAGTTCACTCAAAATATCGTGTTATGCCTCGAATGTCGATATCCAAGCACTGTCATGTGAATATGGAATCAATGAATTGCTGAGGGTCATGCAGTATCTCAACGGCCTCCCGCGACTAACGACAGAGGGAACATTAGTCAGGAAATGGCCATGTTTACAGCACGCCCAGTATCAGATCGTAAGGTGCGTCGACGTTTGCAGCAGTGTGGGCTATCAGCAGGAAGACCATTACTTCGGCTTTCCCTCGACAATGCAGCACACAGAGAGATGACGACTCTAGTGGGCCAAGTTGTGTACAGGAGTGACACAATGTCCCCTTTTCAAACGAGTCCCGGTTCCTAAGTTCAGAACGCAGTATTCTGGTGGCCGTATACGTGTTTCGAGTGCCCGAGGAGACCGCACGCCGCCTTCTTGCATTTGATATCGGCATAGGGTCCCTGTATCTGGTGTGATGGTTTAGGCAGCCATTGGGTACACGACACGCACATCTCTAGTTCGGATCGATGGTAATTCGAACGCAGATGGATGCATTTCTGACATCTTACATCCAGTGGTCGTGCCCTATTTTCGAGGCCCCCAAACGCCATGTTACAACAAGATAATCCAAGAACACATGCTGCACGTCGTGTTCTGACCTTCCTCGATGCACAGTGTATTCGATTGCTTGCACGGTCTCCAGATCTGTCACAGATTGAAAACATCTGTACAGTTGTGGAGTAATTAGGTATTTTTGAAGCAGAATATGAAAAATGCGCAGCATTGCGCATTTTCGCACCACTAGACCCCTCGAATACGTGTCGAATGTGCTTCCAGTCACACCGCGAAGGCATGCGAGAAAGTGAGAGGATATATACCTCATACAGTGTTGCCATTAATCGCTTTGAAATGAGTTTTTTAATAAAGACTTCGTTAAAGTTTTACAAAATATGAAATAGATAATAAAACAAATTCGTAAATCTAGGCTTTCAGGTGCCCACGTTTGGGTGAAGGACTACGTTATTCAAATTGGATGGCTTTACGTACCCTTCTTTTTCACAATTAGAGAAACATACGTACATTGGTGCAGATTCTTAATTATTTAATTTCTTTAAATATAATACAGGACGATAATATTTGGTGGCAATAATCTGAAAAGTGATACACCGTTTACAATGACTGATTGCAAAATGCCGTTTCGAGATTATATCCCATTCGGGACTAACGTCACTTTTAGATTAATAAAAGCTGCTTAAATTTCAGAGTCACAAGAACAATTTACAACCCATTATTTGCACTCGAAGTCCGTCCATGGATAGGATCCCAATGTGCAATTAAGAATTATGCTTACCGTGCTTCTAGAATTGTTATTTCTCTTGTACAGAAGAAATTTTTACCGATTCCGATTTAATCTTAGTAAGTCTGGGCTTTTGAGTAAAAGTTCAAAAGAGAGATTCTTAATTATCTGCATTACCAATAGAAATTTTATTCTTCAAAAAGCCAAAATGCTTTTCATTTGTTTTTTTGATTAGCTACCTTTTCGTTTTCACGTTAATTACAAGCATTGCAAAATAGTCTTATGAACTGAACTAAAAACTTCGAAATTTAAAAACGCCAATTTGCGCAATGTAAGTGAATATCGCCGAATTTATATCGGCGTAAGGCCGCTCAGACGGTATAGCCTACTTGGGGAGCCTAATGCGACATCGAATGGGGAGCCTAATGCGACATCGAATGGGGAGCCTAATGCGACGAAGTGCCCGGGTTCAAATCCCGGAGAAGGCATGGATGTTTGTAAACGTGTAGTGCCTTTGCGCCATGCGGGGAGGGGGCACTCTAAACACATGACTAGCCGAAAGTCCTTTCGAGGATTGGTGGTAGGGTAAGAGGCGTGAGAGACCCTCAGACCAAAGCCCCCGGGGTGCTCTCCGTCAAAATTTGGGCAGAACTGAGTGAAGTCACCTATAGGATGCTCAAGTCTCTTGCCAACGACAGGCGCAATCTTGCACGCCTTAGCACGATGAATTTCCTGGGCTTGTTCTCATGTTACTGTCAGACAAGTGAGATTAATCACAACAATACAACATATCGGTGTAAAGGAGGTAAGAGTTACAAAAATCCATGTTACGCCTAACTTACTCATTTTCCTAATTAACTTCGTTTAGTTTACCATTTTTTAGAATTTAACTAATAGCTAGATCTTAAATAGAATTCTAGCGTTCCGTATACTGGAAAAAACATGTTCTAAAATCCATCGCTAAACATCAGTTTTGAAGGCAACTAAATTTTTTTAGCTCAAAAGGCGCTATTTGTCTCCAAATGGGATTTTGCTCAGATTCACTTAAACAGCGTATCCCTTTTCAAATTGTTGACTCCAGATGATAGTGCCCTGTATTATTTTTACAGAAATTAAGTAATAAAGAATCTTCCAGGATGTATTTATGTTCTTCGCATTGTGAAAAATCGACGGTACCTAGCGCCATCCAATTTTGAATGACGTAGTCGTCCACCCAACATATGTACCTGGAAGACGGAATTTTGAATTTCGATTTTTTTTAAAAATTTATTTCCTATTTTGTGAACTTTACGAGCAGTGTTCGAATAAAGCACTTTTATAACGAAATAAAACATTTTTATCTACAGCGCGTGAGAATGCTACTTGGAGAAATGAAGATGCTTACCTATCAAATTTAATTTAACAAATCATTTAATGCTACCTTTAAACTCCGGAAACTGTAGGACTTTTAGCCCATTGAAGTTGTTATCACGAAATATTATCGTCTTGTATTACTTTTAAAGTAATTAAATAAAAATTAATATAGATGAATGTATGTATGTTTCTCGCAACGTGAAAAAGCGACGGTTCCTAGGGCATCAAATTTTTAATAATCTATTCCTCCACCCAAACATGTGCTAATTTTGAATTTCGAATTTTATATTTACAGTTTTGTAAAACTTTGAATTTTAAACAAACTCAAAGATTTGAAAGCAGGCAGTGGTTACACCGTACGAATTAAAGCATTTTCATTTCCAGTGGGAAATGAAATAAATAAAATCACAATAACAACGGTTTCAAAATAAAATCACAATAACACGGTTTCAAAATGCCCGAATTATACTAAATATTAAAGACCGGAATATCTTTATTCCTTTTAAGAGGGGAAAAAATTATATTTTTCAAGTAATGTTATGAAATTTAAAGGAAGAAACTCACCACATAAAATACTTAAGGTACACTCTCCGAATAGTGGTCCAAGATCCGTCCAAGGTTTATTCACAGATATCTTCATTTTGTCAACCAATATTTCAGCTCCTGTATTAAACTTTTCTATGTAATTCTGAAGTACTCTTGTATGGAAAGCTGGTTTAAGCATGTTCTTCCTCCGTCGCCATTTATCGCCAGAACTGTGAAAATGTTTAGAAGAAAGTATTTGTTTTTCGCTAGCGAATTATAATCAAATGACTACAAATAAAATTATACAAAAAGAAAGTAACATTTGAAAAAGAAATCAAGATTTAGTCTACGTTTTAAGCAAACACAATATTTGGTAGGAATAATTAGAAGACTAAAATTATCGTTTCGGATTTGCTATATATGTGTAAATAATTTTAGTGAAATTATATGTAAAATTGTATCTCTTGTATAATGTATTTTAAAGGTCTCAAGAGAGTGACCGTAAAAATAAGGTTACCGAGACAAGACCATTTAACACTGAAGTAAATCGCTGTCTCCCGAATGACAAGCTGGCATTTTTGTTGCAATTTTGTGTTGCCAAATTTGACGAAAAATCGGTAAATGTTGCCAAACTTCGCTACCACTTGGCGACCTTTTTGTCCGATCCCTGTATAGCACTAAATAGTCTGATACCCGGCCCCGTATGTAACTATAACAGTATATGCCTTCTAGTAATATCGAGAAATTTAAGTTACTGGAAATTTCTCAGTGGACGGGGGAAACTTATATAAGAGAAGAAGGACCATCAATTCTCAGTTTAGTCCAGTATTTAGTTCAGAGTTTTGTTCGGAATAGTGAAAGATCTCTGTGCCAGATTCTATCCTTAAATACCGTTTGAGTTGCGTTGTGTTTGACGTTCTTAGAAGTTTGAGAGGTAACTACTAATTGTGTTCTGTCAAACTGAGGAGAGCTGTACGAGTGCTTTATGTGAAAAAAATCCAGAATTGCAAAATGCTCCTTTTGGGAAAATAAATTTTATCAAGTTCTCATCAGCTTCGTGTGCATTCAGTACTTTAAAAACCCGTATACACGTACAAATTTTGATGTCAGAAGTTTCATTGAATGCCTTTGACACGAGAGATGGAGGGGCAACAATCATAGCCGGTGATAGCCTTTACTTCGTTCCAAGAAAAGATGGAAGTGGCCGTCAAGTCCGTTAACGGAGACATGAAGACGGGACAAGAAAGATGGAAGAGGGCTTCAAGTCAGTTCAAGAAAAGATTGAAGCAAGTCAAGAGGAAATGGAGAGAGAAATTGCTACCAGAAGAGAAAACAATAAGAGGTTATGGAAGACAGAAAAGACACATTTGAAAAGGAAGTTGAAGAAATGGGAGAAAATGTTTCTGTTTTCGGATCACAAATCAATGAAACAATTTCAACTGCTGTCGCCAAGGCTTGACAGCTTGATGAAATCCATAGTGATATTCGGACGTAAATCGGACGCCTTGAAATTTGTAAGTATGTCTCGACGACCCTCTCTAAATCTATCCACGCACGCCAGAAAGATTTCTTGGCAAGTCTATAAGACTCAGTTTTTTGTAGTGGGTGAAGCAGATGGATGGAAAACCATAAATAAGGCTCATCATCTCGGCACTTTTCTGAAAGTAGACACAGCCGATATCCTTCAAACTCTGCCCGAAAACCAGAGGCTAGGCTTCGAAGCTCCATCCTGCGCACTGGAGCTGAACTGTGGCGAGAAGAGTTTAAAAGAGAATAGCAAGCTTCAGTTTATATCTCGCCAACAAAAGCTCACGGAAACAGTCCAAGAGATCGGGATGGATGTTAAAAGGATGTCTCATCTCGCCTTTACGAATTGGCGAAGAGAAAGACGAGAAATCCTGTCCCTGCAGTGCTTCATAGATGGTATCCGGATCATAAGAAGGATAAAGCCTTTCAAATGGTGGATGTGAAGGATCTGAAAACGCTTTAATATATGCCAGTAATTTCGAGGTAACCCCGCAAGACTATGTGCAGACCGCCACACAATCAGACAAGCTCAAGTCCAGGAGCTAGTAGATTAAATATCTCGTTATCTAGACTAGTTAAATAGGCAAGTCTGATTCTGATTCGATTTTGATTTGCCTTGAAGTAGAAAAAGAGTGGCAACAAACCGCCTCTAAAGTGCTAGACCTGCGGTAGTGAAGGCCACTTACGAAGGATCTGCAGAATGCCCGGAGACACATGAGATAAGAACGGTCCCAATAAACAGGAGACAAACTAATTACTGGCCATCTCCCCCGGGGCGGAGGTTGCCAATTTAAAGGGCTTCAAATTTCTGCAATGAGTGGTGGCAGTAAGGGATTTTTCATCAAGGGATATATCAATGGAGTTCCTTGCAATATGACAACCAATACAAGAGCTCATGTTATCATCATCCGAGCCGCCGTGCGTTACCCTCCAGACTGAGTCTGGATAAAAAATCGACATCGATGGAAGGTTAAATTTTAATATCACGTATGGAAGTGCAGCTTACGGTACTTAACGTCCGCTTACACGGCATATGTGGCAGATATTACAGACACTTGCATATTCGTTCTAGACTTTCTAAAAATATTTCTTCTTCGAGTTTTAAAATAATGATTTGCCTTCTGCCTCTGAGGACATAACATTGCTCGAAATTAAAAATAAACAAGTTAAATCCGTCTGCCATATAATAGCTTAAGACGATATCACAGTATCAGTAAGAGCAGAATTTTTGCTACTTGGATCCATACCTGAAGACTGAAATTTCTGGTTCGGCAAATTGGAATATCCTAAGATTAGTATGCAGCCTCGTCTCACGTCGACCTATTCAAGACTGTTACCCTGGTCAGAGTTGCCAGTGTAACTGATAATCAACGAACCATATTCCTAATGATAACAAAAATCATCAGGAAAGGTGATTTTCAGGTATAAAATGCCTCTTCAGTCACATTTCGATCAGAGAAGGAGTTGTATATAAGCTGTAATTAAAAACTCTGCAAACTGCTCGGCACTAAAAAAAAACCAAACGAGACGTTTATATCCAGAATCACAGGGAGAGGTTTAATCGAACCATCCTTAATAAACTCCTGCTGATAGTTTCCAGAAATTGACAGGACACGGATATTTGTGACGTACAATTTCTAAGAGATGAAGTCAGTTTAGCGACGGAGAAGATAAAGGCCAGACTCGAGATATGAGCACCAGGACATCGATTCAGCGAAGGTCGAAGGTGGTAAGGTGTGGTTATGGAATCCCATTCCATGAAAAAAAAAACATTCTCCTAAATCATACTCATGTAGGGGTGGTTTTTACACAGTCCTTAACTGGCTGACTGATGTCGTATTTCGGATCAGGACTTCATCGAATTCTAAGCGTAAGTCTGTTCATACCGGGCAGGATAGACGATAGACCCTTGCTATGGCCGTAGTACATAGATCTCATAGTGTATGCGGTATGACTAGTGTACTAAGACTATGGTCCTATGGTATATAAATCTGTAAACTATGCAGTTAGTTTTTGATTTCTTGTATGTTATTTATTGAAATTATTATTTTAGTATTGCATTGATTTTCCTTAGTTGTAAATATGGCTTTTGTCCAGGGTTACAGCCGGAAACATCGTGGCAAAAATATCGCGGACGCAAACGTCGCAGAGAAAACAACGCAGGGCGAAAACGTTGTGGCACAAAACATCGTGGGAGAAAAGAAAGCAAAGAGAAAATATCGCAGTTCTAAAACAGCGTGATACAAACTATCGTGTTCGAAAATAAAGCTGTTCGAAAACTTCGCAATTTAAAATAATCGTCGTCGAAAATATCATGATAAAGAAAAGTACCTACAAATCCTCGCATGACGATAACATCGCACACATGCGTTTATCAAATCCCATATTGACATATTATGTAACTGACTTTCGTCATAACTAACTAATGGACATACAAAAAATTACTTGCACACTACATATGAAAATGTTAACGACACTTTAAGAAAGAACAGAAACAAAACAAAATATAATTTTTCCTAAAACAATATCAGATTAAAAAATGGGAAAGAAAATACTTTGATAATTAACTAAGCAATTTTTATAGAGGTTACCTCATGCAGTTACTTATCTTCCTTTTTCTAAGCATTTTTGGACTGCATTTTTCATAAATTATCAACAAAACTTTATAAAAAAGGTTAATATATTAATGACCTTTGTTAATTAACCACGTGAAAATCTATTAAATTCTATAAGTTGCATTAATTTTCTACTCATTTTCAAATTTAAAAGCTTAAGTTTCCTTATTTCTTCAGCAGAAATTTATTGGTTCATTCACAAATATGAAATATAGAAGTATAAGATACTCGGTTTCCTTCTTCCGCTCCCAAATCATTATGCGAAAATGCATTTACAACTTTTAAAACTTGAAAACGCATATGTGCGATGTTATCATCATGCGATGATTTGTAGGTACTTTATTTTTTACCACGATATTTTCGACGACGATGTTTTTGAGCCACTTTATTTTCGACCATGATATTTTGTACCACAATGTTTTAGAACTGCAATGTTTTTCTCTTTGCTTTCGTTTCCCTCACGATGTTTTGTACCACGACGTTTTCGCCCTGCGTTGCTTTCTCTGCGACGTTTTCGCCCACGATGATTTTGGTAGACATCTTTGTCCAGTAATTGTTCTATACGGGATCTGCGGTTCTGAAAAGTGGGTTATGTTAGGTTATTGAATTACAGCAAAGCCTCGAGGGCTATCTGACTAAGGGGAGGGATGCCTTCGTGGAGGACTTTCTAAGGGAAACTGGCTCGTATACACGTTACACATGGTGAAAACTACGAAAACACCCATGCAGCCAGCCCGTTCGCGGGATTCGAACCTCAGACCGAATTACCAGTGTTCAGCGACTTTACCGCTCGGCCGCTGGTGGCCCCTCTTGAGAAGTGGGTAATGTTGTAAATTTTGTATATGTGTAAATTATTTCAGTGAAATTTTATGTAAAAATCTGTATCTGTATCTGTATCCGAAACCTAGGGACTAGCGTTCGGCCCTAAAAAGGGCCTTTACATTATGGTCATCGTACCCTGAAGAGGTATATGTCATTAAAATTTAGATTCATAGCAAATGGCATAATAACTTCAAGAAAAACGCAGACTATTATTTTGCACTTAAACATTAAAAAAAAAAAAAAAAAAAAAAAGAAGTAGAATTATTTTCAACGACTGTAACACTAATCATAAATATTGCTGCGTCATCCAAAATAACACTCTTGTCATTAATGCCATTCAGATAATCGACATTCAAAACATTAACTGCTATGACTAAAATTTTTATACCTCACCTCCATTAGAAAAAGTCTATACTAGTCTACTAGATCTGCCTATAGTCTTCCCTGCTATGCTCACGATTATGAACTTTAGCAAATGGAAAACCTACCTAAAATGCATCATTTTTCATAACTACATTAAATTTCAAAATCAACTTTTTAAGCAAGTCAGAGGAATCCCCAATGGGC